GTTAAACTGACTTAGGTTTGTTTGGTCAAAGTGGATTTTACAAAGAAGTACGTAGATGCCCCAGAGAAGGCTTAGGAGCCTGGCTAACATTTGGTCAAGCAGAGAATCTCTGTCACAGTAAATTTCCCCTCATTGTGGCTGCTATTTAAAAAAAAAAAAAAAAAAAAAAACTTCAGTAAGCATTAGTCATATTCTTTGTCTTTGTCATTAAAATAGTTTTTAATGTTCTTAGCGAAGAGCATTAAAATTAAAGAGCAAATATTTGTTGTATTGTTTGTAACAGTCTCATTTCTCATCTTTCATGATTTAAATGAGAAAGCAATATATTTTCTCCTCTAAGCAAGACTCTCCCTCCATACTAAATCCTACTTATGAGCGTAGAGGAAACAAGATAACACTTGAAACTTATGTAAGACAAAACGAATGTTCAGGAATGGAGAAACAATTTGCTATGAATTGCTTTTGACCTCGTCTCCAGGCTGTTTCAGTTTTGTAGTCATATTATTGCTGCCAGAGGCAGTCCAGGTGTTGCCTTCTGCTTCCCAGGTTGGTTTTTGAATCAGTGACTTGGGGAATCTCCTTTCAGATTAGACTGTCTGGCTTCACAAACCCCAACCGTACATGTGCGCTGGTGTGTGACTTGGGCGGCTGCTCAGCCTCCACAAGCTTTTCTCTCACCTGTAAGTGGCACTAGCAACCCCCATGCACAGTCACAGAAGTGTGGAAATGACTGACATTTATTAGTTTGTTTGTTTTTGACCTCTTTGCTCAGGTTTGGATGAAGCTCCTTGTGGAGTGTCTGTGGTAAGAGACGAGAGATGACTGCATCTCTTGTTTGCTTGTGATTTGAGCGTCTCCCACTTGGTTCTTCCGCTGTGTCCCCCACTCCTCCAGCTCCACCTCATGAGTATCTTAACAACCTGCACTTTAAAATTTTAAAGCCAGCGATTTGCTGCCCCCTTCAGGTTAATGTGATAAAAGCAGACCCAGTCCTTGCTGGCTGACTTTGCTAGACCAACTTAATAGATTACCAGGTCATCTCAGTGGTCTTGTAGCCAAGTATGGACATTGCCAAAGTCTTTTCCTCTGAGACATTTATTTTTCTAGATGGCCTAATGAAATATTTGAGTATCCCTTATCTGAAAATTTGGGGCTATATGTATTTCAGATTTTTTGTTTTTGTCGTTGTTTGAATTAGGGGGTATTTGGTATGGACTTTACTGATTGAAAATGCCTGATTAAAAATATCCAAAACCAAAAATTCAGAAAAATTATAATGTTTTCCAGATTAAGTATTCGAAGCCTTTGCCAGCATCCTTTTAGATTATTTTTGGAATTGAAGATCTCCATACATTAGCAAATGGATACTGTGTTTATCTACTTGCCTATTTAGACTTGCAAAATAATGTTTATTTAAAAGCATGGAAGAGCTTTTGCTATGGAGGCAAAGTGTAGTGCTTAAATTCTGGTGGTGTTCTTTGATTTGAGTCTTGTTGTCATCAAGAACTTAGTCCTGAGCAAAACATGAGGATCAAATCAAATGCTGATTTTAGCTCCACACTGCACTGGCTGATGGCGGCTGACGCGCCTGGCGCTCATCCCCCGCATTCCCTGGCTCCCTTTGACACAGTCTGGCATAGAGAACGCGCCCAGCAGCACACAACAGCTTCTGTTCCCGACACTGTGCAGTACAGTAGCACCCTGCTTCACAATGATCTGGCCTGTGTGGGAGTTTGGGTGCCAGTGTGAAAGGCAGGACTACCCCCATGGTGGGGTGCTGACAGATTTAAAACTGAGGGACCAGATTTCTACTATGGAAATGGTATTTGAGCAATCCTTAGAGTTTCCTCTAAGACATCGTAGACGGATTCATCTTAGATACTGTTCTGTTGCTGTGAAGAGGCACCATGACCAAGGCAGCTCTTAAAAGAAAGTGTTTAATTGGGGGCTTGCTCACAGTTTCAGAGGTTAGCTCATGACCATTGTGTGCAGAAGCAGACAGGCATGATGCTGCAGCCATAGCTGAGAGCATTAGCATCCTCACCTGCGGACGGACAGACAGACACCACAGCTGGCTTGGGCTTTTGAAACCTGAAAGCTCACCCCCAGTTACACACCTCCTCCAACAAGGCCACACTTCCTAATCTTTCCCTAATAGTTTTGCTAACTGGGGGCCACACATTCAAGCATATGAGCTTCTGAGGGGGCATTCTCACTCAAACCCCCACACTCCACTCCCTGACCCGCATAGGCTTGTGGCTTTATCCCAGGGTAAAGCGCATTTAGTCCAACTTCAAACATCCCCGTAGTCTCAACGCTGTTTAAAAGTCCAAGTCCAACCCTTTAACCGTAACCCCTGTAAAATCCAAATCCAAAAGCAGATCACGTACTGTGAACGTACAGTGGGATTTAAACTCCGAACTGTTGGGGGAGGCGTGGGGAGGAAGGGGTGTAGTGAGGAAACACTGGACCAAAGCAAGACTGAAACCCGGCAGGGCAAACTGTAAATCCCACAAAAGGCTCATTGCATGGCACTTCCCTTTCAGCCTTGCTGATTGCAGCATGCTTCTCTCTCTCTCTCTGGCTTTTAGCATCTCTTCTCAGCAGGCATCCCACGCCTCTGCCATCTCCAATATCCTGGCATCTCCACAGCAATGCAGGCTTCACCTTAAAGCTTCCCCCAGTCGCCTTTCTGAGCAGGGACTCCCCTGCCACATGGCTAGCCTCTTTGGCGGGCGTTCCTTACCTTACAGAAGCAATTACTCACTGAGCTTCTCCACCCCTTGGTTGTGTCTGCCAGGAATTGGCTCTGCTCCTGAAAACCTTAAGTTCTGCTTGTTGGTCCAATGTGTAGTTTGTGAACAGGCTTGTTTGTATTACTTTTACTCCTTTAATAATTCATTAACATATTGTGCGTGGGCCACTGTTTTGGTACTGCCAAGCTAGTGGTTATTATAATTATTAATTACCTTTAAAAGTCAGTACATAATAAACCCCGTGTCAAGTGCTTCTGGAATGCGCATGTTGCTAAGCACGCTGACCTCGTTGCTTCATGTGCTTTTCTTACCTGTGCTGTGGTGCTGGCTACCTGATCAGCAGAGTGCATTCCCTTCTGCCTGCCCGCCCACGTGGCCTTTGCCTGCTGTCTGGCATCATGCTGGGACACCTCATTATTGATTCACTAGCGTGGGTGTGAAGGGAGAAGGCAGCGCGGTGCTGACCTATAGGTGCTCCTTCCCTGCTCCTTGATGCAACAGAACCCATCACCCGGGAATGCTGGGAATGGCTAGGGTGAGTTACAGGGCTAAAGTTTAAGAGGGCGCCAGAAAACTCAGCAGTCAAATCATATGACAACACGACATTTTGAAAAGGTCAAAATCAATGCAAACAAGGTCTGTGATAACAGAGTATCAAAAAGTTCAACAAGGCAAGGCAAGGTCACTGAATTACCCATGCAGAGCCACTCTGGTGGCCAAGGCAAGGGGCAGGGGCAGCACTGCTGAGCTTTCTTTCCTTTAATCCCAGCACCCGGGAGGCAGGGGGTCTTTGTGAGTGAGTTCCAGGACTGCCAGAGGTACACAGTGACCTTGCCTCCAAGAAGAGGAGGAGGAGGAGGGGAGGAAGAGGAAGAAATGGATCTTTGAATTTAGTTTGATTTTAAAAATTTGATTAAAATATGTATTTGTTTACTTGTTGCTGGCGATAAAATACCCAAGAAAAGCAGCTTGAGAGGGGTTTATTTCGGCTTAGTAGTTGAGAGGATACACTTTGGGTTTGGTGTTAGGAGTGGCTGGTCCTAACTGCATCCATAGTCCGGGAGACGGAGGCAGGACCACACTTTAAAAACCCCAAGCTCCGCTCCCACTGACACACTTTCTTTGTTGAGGCTCCATCTCTTAAAAGCTCCATGACTTTTCAAAAACAGAGCTGTCAGTTGTAGGGGCCAAAGGTTTAAACACAAAGGCAAATGTGTAGGACATTTGGCATTCAGACCTTAATAAAATACAATAGAAGATTTTGCTGGCGTCTTGAGTTTCTACCCTGTTTTAGCTGGGCTATCCTTTGAGTGGGGCTTGGGCAAGGAAAGGGGAGGGCTAAGATAGTTGCCACACTGGCTGCTTTCTAGAAGTGTGGTCTTCACGGGGGAATTCTGTTTCAGTGGATGAGTACAGTGGGTTTAGAAGTCTCCGTGCTGTTGGTGGTTATGTCTCTATATAGAAACACAGAACCGTTTGTCCTCAAGACAGGGCCTTACTGTAGAGCTCAGGCTGTCTTGGAACCCACAGCCCTCCTGTCTCAGCTTCCTGAGCACTGGGATTGCAGGCATATACTGCCCTATCCCATGGTGTTGGGAGGTTCTCAGTGAGGTGCAGTTCTAAGAACAGCTGTGAGTTCCCACCTTCTCTACCCCGCGGCAGTAGGCAGAACCGATTCTCATTAGAGCATTTGATTTGCCCTCTGGCTCCTTTATGAAGATTGTCTGCACAGGGAGCCAGTGAGCACAGTGTTCTCCTGTGGGCTGGTGAGCAGGGTTTAAAAATGTTTCACCTATTCTTGGCGGATTTATTTGTGCAGCGTTTCAAGGGTGGATATTTTGTTTTGTTTTGTTTTGTTGAGACATGATCACTTGTCACCCAGGCTGGGCTTCAACTTGATCTTAGCTGAAGATGGCCTTGATTTGTCACCATCCTGTCTCTTAAGTGCTGGGATTGTAGGCATGCATCGAGCTTTGTATAAAGGTGGCATGATGGGACCCGCTCCTCTGCTCTGTCATAATTATCCTGAGACTCAGACTATAAGTTTAGCATTCTAAGTTGGTGGTTTATATTGCCTACCCCACATTTTTCTTTCATCCTTTCCCAAGATAGCCATATCACTTGAACATACAGAAAGAAGGCGAATGGCTGTAACCTCAGTGGCCTTGGGACAGCAGAGTAGCTACAGGGAGATTTAGCTTCGCTTTCACACTTGACATGATTCTTTGTTCTTAACCCCAAAAGGACTGCCGAAGACAGAGCCAGTGGCTGAGGAGGGGCAGGATGCTGTGGCCATGCTCAGTGACCCAGAGACCATGACAGAGGAGGAGAAGGACGAGCTGAAGCAAGAACTTAGTAAGGTGAGCACCATTCTTTGTGGCCCATCATGCTTTGCCATGTGTGTTTCCAGAGCCCGTGGTAATATCGCTTATGGTAAAGGCTCAAGGTGAAAGAAAGTACTGTGAGCATGTGCAGCCCAGAGTCTCTGTAGGATAGAGGAGAGAAAGTGATATGGGCTGGCTTTCAGGTGACAAAATGTGTGGGTTAGGTGGGCCTGGTCGTCAGGGCTGCGGCAGGGAGAGCTGCACTCTAAGACCCTTGCTGCTCTGTTTCACAGTGTACGGTTCCGTGTCACTCAGCACATTCAGTTGCCTTGCAGCTCTCACCTCTTGTGCGTTGTGAACGTTATTTCCCATCCCATGGAGGCCCCGCACCCACTGAGGAGTCCCTGGCCCTCCCTCCCTCCCTCTCTCTCAGCCGGCTTTTTTCTCTGTGAACGTAACCGTTTCTCTCGATACTTCATTTATAATACGTGACCCCTGTATGTTGGCTTCTTTCAGTCAGTGCACTAGTGTAGCACGTTGCGGGCTCATTCCTGTTGTAGCATCTGGCAGTAACTTGTTTGCTTTTCACGGCCACTAATAGTCCATTGTGTACGTCTACCATATTATGCTTTGTTTTTCACATGTCCCTTGGAGGCCATTGATAGTATTGACATCTGTGGATAGTGAACCAGTAACGTTTACGTACAAAGGACCATTTTGAATTCATTGGCTTTACGTATATACTTACTGTAAATTTATTTTACTATATAGTCAGTCTACATTGAACTAATTTTTTTTACATTTATTTGTGTGTGTGTATGTATGTATGTATGTGTGTATACATGTGTTTGTGCATGTATGTGTGTGTTTTTGTGGGCATACATATGGAAGCCAGAGGGCAACTTTTCAGAAGTCACTTCTCTCCTTCCACCTAATGGATTCCAGGGATGGCACTCAAGCTTTGTGGCAAACCCCACATTTAATTTTTTTTCCCAACATAATACTTTCATTGATTCTTTGGGGATTTCACATCATACACCCCTATCACAGTCTCTTCCCTGTCCTTCTCTGTCCACCTCCCCCCAGAAGAAAAGTCCAACTTGTGTTTATCTATACATTTACCGGAGCATGGTCAAACTCTCAGCGGCCTGCCCCTTAAACAGAGCTGAGTCCTTTCCCTCCTGCCCCGCTGCTGGAAGCCATCTGTCGTGGAGAGCGACACTTCATCTTATCACAGTTAAGAGTTCTCTCCAATGGCTTCCTGTTTAGGCTGATGGGGAAGCGGGGTTGGGGTAGAGGTAGAGGGTTGTCACAGGATTCTTCCTTGTCCCTCTTTCTCAGCTGTGCATCTGCGGTCATCACTATCACTGCTGAAGTACCTTATTTGCTCTTTGTGTTCTGTGGGAGCATGGCTCGTGGGCTTCCACGTGGTTTCTGGTGTCAGCACAGACCACAAACAGGACTCCTAGTTGCCGTAGGGCCATGAACCCAGACAAGGCTCTCTGATGCATCTGGGATTACAGACATCAACACAACTTTAGGCCACAGCTTGGACCATGGACATCTGCCCAGCCTTCGGTGGCAAATGGGTTTTGGAAATCATGTAACCAGACAATACCCTCAAGGGCATCAGACGCAGCTGGGCTGAGCCTCTTTCTAGGCAGTTCAGTTCATTTGTATCTTCTAGGGAGATGGGCTTGTGCGAACAATTTGCAGTAGTCTTTATTGCTTCTGTATGCTTGGGGAGAGAGGGACCTAGTGAAGCTGTCAGTTTCAGGGGCTTCCTGAAGCCGTTTTGTTTACTTCCTACATTTAAAGAGCTTCACTGCAGGATGGAGATGTCATCTTTCTTTGGAACATCTGTTTCACTTTCCCCTTTAACATCCTGTGTTTTAAGAAGCTTTCCTCCAAGACAGAAATTTTAATCTAGGTGAAAACGGCTACACAGAGCCATCTTTTGTGATTACTTCTTCCACTTAAATGGATGCGCTCAACTTTCCTCCCTGTGGTGGTGTGGAGTAGTACTGCTTAGAGTTGAACACTGTCTCACTGCCTTTTGCCCTCCCGTCAGTTGGTGGACCTTTAGGTTGGTTTCCCTTTGAAGCTGTGTAGAGTGGCCTCCTATGAGCGTGCTTGTACACATTTGTCTGGGAACACAGATTGTTATGTTCTCCTAAATTGTGATCAGAGGCAGTGTCAGAATCTACCATAGCTGTGTGTTTGCACTTCTGAGGAGCTGTTGCACTTCATTAGTATGGGAGGAGTCATTTCTGTCCTGGCAGCTGGTCAAGGTCTACTTTTTATAGTATTCCTAACATGGGTGTAGGGTGGCGTTTTCATTGACCCTTCTTCAGTTCCTAATAGATGATGCTGATCACCCTGCCATTTGCCTCGTGTCATTTTTATATCTTCCTGTGAGCATTGTCTAATTCCTTTGCCCAGTAAAGATTGGATCATTTGCTTTTTTTATGTCCGAGTTGTAAATTTCTTCCTGTGTGTTTTGGATACGACAGATATGTTTAACAGGCTTTGAAGGTATTTCCTCCATTCGTTGGTTTCTTTTTATCCCATGATAATGAGCTCAAGGCACAGCAGCTTTTACAGTTTCAGAGGGTGGGTGGGTGTGAGATAGGGTCTCCTGTAGCCAGGATGCTTGAACCTAGTCAGGGATGACCTCAAACTCCTGATGCTCCAGCCGTCACCTATCATGAGGGCCTTTGTGCCAGACTTCAGTTTCTAATTCGGATAAACTCTGTTTTTCCCTCCTGGTCACTTGCAGTGTCCATGCTGCCTTAAAAAAAAAAAAAAAACAAAAAAACCCTAACTATGGTTTTGAAAATTTGACCCCATGTTTTGCTTTCAGGATCATAGAGGCTAGCAATTGTTTATAGCTTCCTGATCAATCTGAGTGTGTGTGTGTGTGTGTGTGTGTGTGTGTGTGTGTACTGAGTTAAGGGCTTTCCTTTGTTCTTTTGCATTTGAAAACCAGTTATCCAAGTCATATTTGTTGGGGCAAAAATCCCTGTTCTTTCTCCACCAAGTTCTCTTGACACATCTGTCAGAAAGCAGTTCATTTCTGACTCTGGATTCTGTCATATTGGCACATGTGTTTTCATTTTTTTATGCTCAAAACAACCTCCATTACTGTGTCCTCACAGCAACTTTTTCACTCATGTCTGTCTTCTTTCCATCAGTTGTGTTCTCCTCCACTATTCGTCCCACAAAGAGGTGGCGATTGCCTCTGAACGTAGCTTGCTTGGATGTTCTTAATGATTTACAGAAAAGCTCTTGCCATTATGTTCTCCTCAATCCCGTCCCTCACAGGTGGAAGAAGAAATCCAGACTCTGTCTCAAGTGCTGGAAGCGAAGCAGAAGGATCTCGCAGAGATCAAGCGGAAGCTCGGGATTACTTCGCTCCAGGAATTAAAGCAGAATATTGCCAGGAGCTGGCAGGACATGACCACGACCACTGCGTGAGTTGCCTCGGTGGCACACGTTTCTGGACTGTGTGAAGGACGCCTCTGCTCCTCTTCTTTGGGGAGAGGAAGAGCAGAGGCGTGAGGGTGTTTCCACAGGTTTCCTTTGGGGACCACACAACCTTTTCTTTCCAGTTCTTGAGAGTACCTGATTCTTTTCTAAATTTTAGCTTCCCAGAACAGCTTAAAGAATGGAATCTCACGGACAGGTTGAAGGAACCATATTCAGATTCCTTCCTTCTTGTGGCTTCGTTTTTATCTTCCTGAGGTTTTAGTTCCTCCCAGTCAGAAAATGCTAATTAGAAAATTTTAGACATAAGATTCGTAAGTTTTAAATTACATTCTATTTTGTGTAACATGACTAGATCTCTTGCCATCTTGTTCTGTACAGCTCGGGACATGAGTCATCCCTTTTCCCAGTGCATCTCTGCTTTATACACCCCCTGTCATGGTTAGGGTTTCTATTGCTGTGGAGAGACACCATGACCACAGCAACTCTTGGAAAGGAAAACGTTGAATTGGGGCTGGTTCACAGTTTCCGAGGTCTAGTCCATTATTGTCATAGTGGGAGGCGGGGCAGCACGCAAGCCGATACGGCGCTGGGGAAGGAGCTGGGAGTGCAGCCTCTCATTCTGCATGCAGCAGAAGTGGAAATGACACGAGGCCTAGCCTGAGCATCTGAGACCCTCCAAGCACCACCCCACACTTCCTCCAACAAGGCCACACCTCTTAAATAGTGTCACTCCCTACAGGCCAAGCATTCACACGCATGAATCCGTGGGGGTCATTCCTATTCAAACCACCTGACCCTTAGTTACTTGGTGGGCATGTAAGGGAAGATGTGGTGTAGACCCACCCGGTGCAGTATGAGCTCTGTGTTGGCATCCGCTGGTGATCTTAGAACATGTGCCCTCAGCTTAGGGAGGGCACTATTTATATTGCCTTTTCCAATGTTATTAGACAGTGTTGTTTGGGTCTCAGAATAAACCAGCAGATCACGTGATGAGATAACTCCAAAGAAGGAATAGGCTCAGATAAGTGACATTTGGAGGTGACCAATCTCTCAAAGTCAGGATTTGAACTTGGGCCTGGTCATCTGTGGAGATGGTCATTTTTTACTTCGTTCAGTAGCCTAAGATTCTTCCATCACAGTGTCTCCTACATGCTAGCCGTAGAGGCCAGTCCCTTAGTTTGCTAGTTTTGTGATCACGTGGGTTAGGAGACAGCATTGCGCTTGTGCACCTTTCATTCCTGGTGTGGGAGGAGGAACAGGCGTCTAGCAGCAGATCTGCCTTTTTTGTTTGTTTGTAGCTTGTGAGTTGGCAAAATTAGGAGCTGCTGACAACAGTAACAGTGAGGCCATCTGTGCCCCACTTGACCCTGATCACCTCTTCTTCCTCCTCCCTCCCTGTGCTGGGAATTGAACCTGCGGCCTTGTTCATCTAGGCAACATTCTAGCACTGAGCTACCTCCCTAGTGCAAGTATTCACTCTTTTGCTTATCCTCCCCCGACCCCCACATTCGTGGGTAGAGGAAAACATACAAGGAAGTAATCTTTGTAACCACGAACGATGTTTGTCCTTGGTATTTGATCTTGATGTAGTAAGAAAAACCAAACCAAACCAAAGGAAAACCCCCAAAACCATAAAAGCAAAAACAATGCCCCAGTACTAATTTCTGCAGTAGAGAAGCTTGAGCCTTTTGATAGGTTCCATGTTTTTGTTTGGTTGATAGCTATAAAGCAGACTGCTCATTTCTATTTTTATGTTACAGTAAGTATCGTACTATAATAATTTTGCATATTGGTATCTTGTATATACATTGAAAACCAGGCAAGTTCTTATGTAGTAGCTCCAGCAAACAAACAAACAAAAATTATGCTCAGAAATTTGTTTGGATACTACAATATACATGAACTACACTTTTTTCCTTCTGACCGCTTTATGTGAGATAATATTGTGAAAGGCACCTGAGGAATTTGATTTTCATTTTGCTTTGTCTGGCTGATGTAGAGAAGAGTGAAAGAAAGGTGAGGTTTCAAACTCTGGCTCATTTTCAGTTTTGTTTTATGATCAGCTTTAGCCTGTTGACTGGTGAAACACAGCTCTCCTTTAGAGGCAAATAAACAATAGTTTATTCTTGAGCCAAATGTGAGCATCTGTGGCCTGGCAACAAAGTTTGAGGTTGCCCTGGAAGATGTGTGATCACATGCAATGTTATTGGCCCCAGAATAACTAAATCTAAATGTTGACTGAGGCCACTGTGGAGCCCATAGGTAGGCAGGTTACAGCAAGATGGAGAAAACTGTCCTGTGGGTTTCAGATGCTCTCTTAGCTTTTGGATTGTTAGGCTCATGATCTGCTGAGAATACATTGTTAAGGTTCTGAGAGCCCTAGGCTGTTAGGCACAGAGGACTTGCTTTCAAAGAGACTATAAAAATTTGAAGATAATTTGGCTCTTGCCGTCGGCATCTTCTGGCTATCGTCAGAAAGTCATTTTTGCCGTTTAGAATCTTGGTCTGTGCCTGTTTGCACAGTGTGGAGGTCGGAGGACAACTTCAGTGTTGTTCCTCAGGTGCCAACCAGCTGTTTGTTTGTTTTTTAAGGGAAGGGTCTCTCAGTAGCCTGGAACTCTTCCAATAGGCTAGACTGCCTGGCCAGTGAACCCCAGGGACCCTTTTGTATGCCTTTCCAAAACTAGTATGACTGGCCAGAACTATCATGCACAGCTTTTTTTTACATGGGTTCTGGGGCTCAAACTCAGGTTCCCCGGGCCTAGAAGGGAAGTACGTACTGACTGAGTACGGTACCTGCCCAGGCCCTGGCCTTTAGGTACAACTTTTCTTTTTGGGGAGGGAGGGGCCGCTTGAGCTTGACAGCTAACTTCTTAGTCCATTCCTTTCTGGCCTTGTCCAGGGCACCAGAAGATCATGGTGGGAGGATTACTGCTACCCTCACGGTTATAGGGAACATTTAGAGGTTCTTAAAACTGTTCTGTTCTTGAGTTCTTTAGGTGATGACTGCTGTCCTGGAAAGAGCGTCTGGAAAAGCCTAGCTGACCTCTCTTCCCTTTGTTCATTCATAATTGACTGTAGGTACAAGAGGACATCTGAATCCTTCTCTCAGGCTGGACAGAAGGCTTCAGCTGCATTTTCATCAGTTGGCGCAGCCATCACCAAAAAGCTGGAAGATGTTAAGTACGTATGCATTTTCCCTTGCTCACCGAGTAGCTGTGGTGAACTGAACCGGCACGCTAAGTGCTGTTGGTCCCTGCCTTTGGCTCTGGGTGTTGCTGGGTTCTGCTCTCTTAGAGAGAGGGATGGAACTTCTTCAAACCAAGGCATGAAATGCTTGCCTGGATTCTTCTAGGCCTGGTCCTCTAACCTCCAAAATGAGCATCTTCTGGGTCCCTTTAAGGGCCGTTGAAAAATTCTGGTTGCAAACTTTTGTCTCAGTCCTTCTCGGTCCTGCAGGGTAAGCATGTCCGTGGTGTTTGCAAATGTGTGATTGTGGGCAGAGCCAGGCACCTTTCTGGGGATGAGTACAAGAGCATTCAAGTGTACGCTTGGGCCTCACCATCTGTGTGTGACCTTTGTGTGTCGTGGTGTGGTTCCAAGGTGCTTGTGCGTGCTCTGGTTCATACTAACCCATAAGCTTTACCTACATCTACATGGCCCAGGTCTTGATTTTGAGTTTCTGTTCTTTTCAGTTGTGTGTTTGTATTTGAGGTTATTTTGCAGAATTTTTCTTGTCATTTTGATAAAACCACTTGATGGTGCTTTTGTGCTTCCATCCACCCTCGTGACTAGAATCATGCTGGTTCACGCAGGCTGTGCTTCTGCTAGTGTGCACACTGGCTGTTTGTCTTTTTCTACGCCTAGACTGCATGACTTTGTGTTTTATCTGTGGGGAAAATAGGTTTTACAACCAGAATTTTGTTAGTTGAATTGATTGGTTCAATCAGTATATTATGCTGTGTATCACAATCCATTTCCCCACCCATTATATTTCAGAGCAGTGTTGTTCTGAAAGCTTAATATCGCAAGGACAGATTTTCCTGAACCCTTGGACGACTTTTTGTGTGGATCGCCTGCAAGGCGCTGCCACGCTTTTAGCGTTGACTGAATCTGCAGTGTAATGATAATAAGTTGTTTGTTTAATTATGATAGCTTCGGGAGAACTTCCTTCAGTTTTAACGCTTCCTCTGGCTTCTTACAGATTGCAAGCTTTTTCACATTCCTTTAGGTAAGGCGAGTTTGACCCCCCCGCTGTTGTCCCGCAGTTGTGTGAGCTGAGCGTGTGAGATTAGATGTTGTTGCCTTGGTGGAAGCTCCCGTGTTTCCGCTGCGTGACTCTCCTGCATCCTCAGTAGCTTCTTGAGCGCATTTCTAATTCCGAGGGAGGTCTTCTTGTATACCATGTGCAATGACCCAGCTGAAGGAAGAATCTGGCACTGTGGCACAAGGGATATGGAAATGATTTTTGACGTTTCTATTATTATTATTATTATTATTATTATTATTACTATTATTACTATTACTATGGCATACAGAATTCCTCCCTTTCAATGTCTGACTGTTTGGTTTTGATGCTTTGGTAGGGATATTGGAATTCTCCTTCATGTGGGTCCTACTGTCTAATTACAATGGTATTAACTCTTCCATCTTCTGAAGGTGACAGTACTCTGTGTGTGTGGTAAGACAAAGATGTAAGACCTTACTCACCATGTACTTTTCGATATTTGGTTTATTGGCATACTTCGCTATTTTATTTCTCCACTAACTGTTCTTTAAGCACACGAGGCCATTTTATGGTTTGTCACTGGAAAGGGAGTATTGAAAAGTACAGGTCATGCCCTGTAGGGAGTCCCTGTGAGGCTGAGCAAACGGTCCTGTCCTGTGTAGACCCTGACTGTATATGCAGGTATCAGAGGGCACACATAGGAGATCCTTAAGGAGTAAGCTGGATGGGTGACGCGGTCTCCTCTGTCTTCTGAGCAGGGCACACTGTACCTCATCAGTCCTTGCTGTCTCCCAGCTGCCACTGGCTTTTCCTCCCCGTTTCCCTTTTCTGGCTGTTAATTTTCTTTTAAAATTTTCTAACTTCTTGTTGATCCTTTGTGAATTTCACATCATGCACCCCAGTCCCACTCGTCTCCCCCATCCCTTCATCTCAGCCCTCTACCCTTGCAACCTCCCCCTCCAAAAGAAAACAAAGCAAATCTCTCTGTGCAAGCTGTGGTGTGTCACGGTTGTCATGCAGCATATCCTTTTTCGTCTACATGTCTTTACTTGCAGTGTTCATTGCAGCGAGTCATTGTCTGGTCGAGGTCTCTGGCTTCTGCTACACCATCAGTACTGGATCCTCCCTGGGACCCCTCTCAGATATCCTGTTGTTGTCCTGTGTCATGGAGATCCTACAGCTTTGGCTCTGCAGGACCGCCTTCACACGCTCCAGCAGTTCGTAGACGGGGTAGATGTTGGGGTGGGCCAACTCAAAGCCCTGGGTCTGGGCCTGGGTGGTAGCTGAGAGGGTCAGCCTGACAGCTCTTTCTAGTCTGTGCCACCCGGGCCAGCTCTGTTGTGTTTATCCAGGAGACAGCAGGGTCCCCGCTCTCCTGCTCTCATGACTTTGGGGCTAACTCTATTGCCTGCCACAGGCGTTGAAGGGTGGGGGAGGACATCTCTCCCACACCCACACCACCCCAAGACAGTGCCTTCCACCAGGGTCAACTCTACTGTGCTTCCATGTGGGTGAGGGGTGGGGCCAGCTCTCCTTAGCCCTTGGACAAAAACATGGTCTCAGGTGGTAGCCTAGACTAGGGACCTCTGAATGGCTTTGGTGGGTAACATGGGCTGTAGCCATCAATACAGACCCCAGCTGCAGTAGGGCCATGGATCCAGACATGGTCCTCAGAAACAGAACGGGCCAGGACTTCACCGTGGCCTCAGGTGGCAGTGTAGGCTACTCACTCACATCAGCCTGTTTCTCACCACCCTCTCGTGTCCAGCTTCTCTTTCTTTCCCATCTCTTCACCTCCCTTCACCGTGTACTTCCATGTTGTGTGGAGGTGAGCAGGCCTCTGGCTGTTAATTTTTAAAGCCAGCTTACCAAGTGATGAGTTCCATTGTGACATCTGCATGAATAGATGTCATTATAATACATTCTTCTCATTCATCATCACTTTCCCAATGCTGTATCCTTTTCTTCTCTTGCTGGTGTCTTTCTACCACGAAAATAGTCCTCTATTCTTTCACGTTACGTGAACTCCATTATCTTTTTTTTTTTTTCTTTCTTGCCCACCCCCCTTAAGATGTCTTTCTTCTCCTGGTCTCCCTTCCACTCCCTCCCCTTCCCTTGAATAAGCCAACGGGTGCATGCAGCTCTGGTCCTGGAAAGCCGAGTAAATCATAGAGATGGACAAACTCTCATTGTTGAACTATTTAAGGCTAAGATATTATCAGTTAGAAAAAAGTCAAGTAGCCAGTGATAAGAAGGGACGGTTAGAGGCAAATGAATAAACTTAGTCACATTAGCCATAAGTCACATAGCACAGGCGTGCCTGCGGTGTCCAGATCTGAAGGCCGTAACCATGAAACAGTCATAGCTTTTGTTAGATTAGATCCCTTTGTGTAGTGTGGGGGAAGGAGCCAAGGCCTTGGGACACTTTCTAAGTAGAAGAACGTGCAAGTACTTTGTCGTCAGTCAGTGTCAGGTATTACAGCACAAATACAAAAGCATAGCGCTATGCAAGGCCTCTTCAGGGTGGCATGCTTCACCTTATAGATCATTCTTTCCCCACACTGTTAGCAAGGTCACAGCAGATGTGTGCAAGTGTGGTTCAATGTGTGCTGCCTTAGCAGGTCAGAAACAGAGCTCTGCTGCCCTGAATAATTTTAGGTTACCTTATTTCACGTAGAAGTATGATCAGGTACACTGCACTGCTTGTAAGCTAGTACGTTTTGTTCTCTGCGAGTTTCATACATGTGTTTAATACATTCCCAAAGCACTCGTACCTCACTCCTGCCCCTGCCAGCCTGCTTTCCTCTTTACAGATATCTTTCAGTATCCATTCATTTTTGTTTTGTGTAGTGCCCTGCTGATTTTAACTAGGGCCCTCTGTGTTACCCCGGGTTTGGACCTAACCGTCCCAGCATTATGGGCTCACCAGTGTGTACACACCTGGATATTACGCCTCCCTGTCTCCTTGAATTTGTTAGCTGCCGATACTTCAGCAGCAGAACCCGAGTCCCTCCCTTTCTGTAGCAGATGTTAGCAAGGTGCCGATCTAGCCCCAGTGGGCATGGCTCCCGTGAGTTAATGATGGCCATCGCTGTATCAGGCTTCCAGGATGCCACTTCATAGCCAGGCCTTATCTTCCAGACCTTATATTGTTTTCAGTCCCCTCTTCCACAACGTTCCTCGAACTTTAAGGGAGTGGAGCAAGTGTTTGTCTTGTTTTTTACTGGCAAATAGTGCATGCAGAAATCGTCTTTTGATGAAAACTTGGAAAGAAGGAAAAAGATTCTCTTAAATTTTGTAATTCTTCTCAGGTTACTTAATCTGGTTTCATGTTTTCAGTCATATAAGGAAAAATCACATCTTTCAGATCATGGAGGTCATAGAGGCAAACTCTGGCCACTCCTCCAGAGTGATTATCAGGGAGATAGCCTTACCTCGAAGCACTGGCCACATGATCCGTTCTGAGGGGTGGGATGGGGAGCTAAGAGGGCGGACTCCAGAGATCCCTTTTGCCAACTACTCGGAAACAGATGGTTAATCCCATTAACTGTTTGCCCTAAGTCCCACTTGAGTGGTACACTCACACTAATGATTTCATGGCGATATAATCTGAGGTGTAGAAAGAGAAATGGCTTGTGCTAACTCAGAAGGTCCAGTGTTACTTTAAAAAAAAAAACAAAAACAACAACAAAAAACCACGATCAGTTTAGTGAGTTAACATCTGAGAATCAGATATTTGTAAGATTTTTGGCTACATTAGGGGAGGAGGGAAGGCAGAGGGAAAAGCAAGGAGCGAGGTAGAGAGAGGAGAGGTGGGGATGGGGAAAATTATGGGAATAGGTGTTTTTGAAGTCTTGAAAACGAGAGTTCAGCCAGGCTGGGATCCTTTTGGGACAAGGTAATGAAAACTTGACTCATAAGGTCCCTGCTGATAATTGTTGACCACTCCAAAAGCAACGTGTACATTTCTACCTTTTGTTTTTTTTGCTGTTGTCTGTACAAAGAGGCGACACATTGAGTCATGCTTTTATAATGGGGAGACATTCTTTACAAGGGCCTTCTCACTGTAACCACTGCTACTTTAAACACAAATGATGGTCTTATGGCATCCTGGAATAATTCAGTGACTTCATTGTTTCATTTTTTTAATATATTTAAGAAGAAATGCTAATTCATTTTGTGTTTACTTCACAAAAGAATTTTCCTTTCAAGTGAGAATTTATGTATACATCTCAATATTCTTAATTTGTTTTAGGGCTTATTAAGGTCATTCTTGACAATTCCTTTTTGCTGGAAAGTTCTGACCTTCATGGGAAAAGAAATATCTTTCCTCCACTGTGAAAAGGTGTCTTTTGATTAGGAACTGAATCACTGTAATACTTTCTGTACCTTTCACATTCACATTTCCCAGTTTTAGTTGGCAAAATGTTTATCATTCTGATGTATTTGTTAAATGCTAAACTGTGTGTCAGATTTTGTTCTAGACTATTGCAGACTTTTATGAGAAATCGTCTGCCATGAAAATGATGTCAATTCCTGTTTTAACCAAAGCCAGTAATGTAATGGTTAACAGTTATATGCTGGGGAGGACAATCCTGAGCCCTTCCAAAGTAGGGGTGGATAGTGCTTTGATAATACAATGGGGAAGACACTGAGCTAGAGGGAGACTAAATGACTTCAAGGCTGCAAAGCCAGTGAAAGTGGCTGACGGTTAGGATTTGAACCCATTCCTCCTGGTCCCAGAGCTGACACCCTCCCCGGGGCAGTGAGGTCAAGAGTGACCCCTGAGCCCTGGACATGGCCTAGCACTTTTTCTCTTGCACTGCTCATGTCAGGAGAGGTTGGGAGAGTGGTGCGGGACGGCTTTCACAGCATCCCCACGATGGCCATTGCTCTTTCTCTGCACAGTCCTCCTTTCTCTCCCTGGCTCTGTATTATTAGAGGTAGAAGGGTCAGACAACAGTGTCAGAAAGGGTTCTCCCTAAGAGAATGAATCATGCAGTGGAAGAGCGAATCTGAGATTGGGAAGTATACAGAGAGAACCACCCCTTGCTCCCTGTCCTCCTCACCTAGCTGCACCTCCTGCTGTGAGGGTTCCAGATCAACAGGGGAGAATCTTAACGGATTCTGCTTTGTTGGTGTGATGGATTTCCCTGCAGGCTCTCTGTCAAGCGCCAACTCTGGCTTTTTGCCATAGAAGGTTCCATGTCACGTTTGGCTTTGGATGAATTTGGAAGTGATACGTCAGTTGAAGAAGTTTTGTTCAACGTTGTGTAGAGGAACCGGGAGTGAAGGAACAGCCGTCCTCGAACTTAGTGCAGCCTAGATACCCACCAAGTGAAATTTCATCTGAGTGCGACTGTTGAGGGGATTAGATAATGGGATGCGGCTGGGCTTGATGTATACGCCTTGTTCTTCCCACTAAGATGGCTGCAGAGGCCTTCTTTTCGAAATGTTCTCTACCAGTTGATTTCATTCTGTTTTAATTGTGAAATATAGGTGCAGAAAAGGACTCAAATTCAGCCCAGTGATTTTTTTTTAACAAAATAAGCCTTATTTTAAACACATCCTAGCCTTGTCTTCTCTACTGTCTCAGGTGTACTTACTGTGTGCTAGTTTGTGTGCTGCCGAGAGAACCCAGCCACCTGGCTACAAGAAGGAAAATAATTTTTTTTTTTACATGAGTGTAAGAATAGTAGCCAGATTTGTCTGTAACTTTTAAGAACTTAAACTTTATCCACATATTTCCTCATTTTGCTAATTCCGTGGCCATGGAAGAATTCCTGAAGTGATTGCTCTAGTGAAGAATGTTTTCGTTGAGGAACAGAAGATAATGAGCCTGAGGTCAATGCAGAAAGGGAATGTTTTGCACAAATTCAAAACTGTTTTGTAAAGCAAGGAGCAAGCAGAGAGAGAGAAGCCCAGCCCCGCTCAAACCAGCCGACTACCCAGAAAGCCTTGGAAATTGAGGTGGTGACTAGAAACATAGGAAGTCTAGGGAACTTTAGGGCCAAAGGTGTTTTGTGGCTGTGGGGCTCATCCAGGCTCCTTTTTTCAGAAGGGCCCGAAGCAGTCCATATGATGATTCAAGTTTGGTTAGTAAGAATTTAGAAGGATCATTTTCAGTAATCTGTGCCCTCCAGTTATGGGAACAGTACTTCAAACAGAAGACCAAACAGAAGAAGGTAACTTCCTCCTCCTGTGCAGTTCATGCCCAAGTGAGCCGCAGCGCACGCCTCCTCCGTCAGGGGGAGAACTCACAGTGTGACGTAAGAGAGCACCGCACAGTGGGGCCTTGATTCGCTCTGTCACAGTTTTCATGTTCTGCTGTTCATTAGGATCATACCGCATAGAATTACATAGTACTATTAAGCTAGACTTGATATCACAAAACACATTGCTACGTATAGCAATAGTCTTTGAAGAGACTTAGTCATAAACACACAAACTTTTAAATATCATTGAGGATTAATACTTGAACTGTTTGCTCTACCCAAAGGAAAGATTACTTACCAAAAACATAGGCTAGTGACCAAAATATTATGTGCAAAATAACAGTATGAACAAAACATGGTTTTGTTTGTCTGTTTTTTCAGAAGAAGGAATGAAGATATTTTCAGCTGGTGAGCTGGTGTCAAGGGAAGGTCTTGGAAGAGCAGGCTCAAAAGCTTTGCCAATCAATGAACTGTACTGTTATGGGGTACAAATTGAACCCCGGAATGTGAAGACCTGATTGGTGCTTGAATGATCTTCTAGGAAGTCTTGAGATCAAGTCTAAGTGTCTTTCATTGAAGAGCAAATACTGTTATTGCTAAGGAGTGCTGTGGAATTTGTAACAACTTAGAGTCATTAAATTTAGAAACTGGTCTGTTCCAGCCTAGAAACAAATAGCTAAAGAAAGGTGGTTGCTGTGGTGGCCCAGCAGGGGTGTGTGTATGTGTGTGTGTATGCTCCTGGTGTGTGCATGCTTTACTTTTGAGGGGAGGTGATGAAAGCTGAATCAGGACTCCTAAAGACCCACGTTCCATTCTCAGTTTTCTGCTATACCTCGGGGGCTCCCATTTCTCCTCTGAGACTTGGTGCCTTGGAGAGCCAGGAAATGCATTTTAACGCTTTCACAGCGAGAAGGAAGGAAGGACACCCTTGTGTTGTTCGCGCTAATAATGATTTGGCTGAAATTGGTTTGTGGGTGGCTCAAAAAGTAAATTCTCTTGGCATAACTTTATCTACCTCTCACCTCAAAAAGCTTGTTCACAGAGAATGAACTGTCAGAAAGCTTTATTTATTTATCAGGTGTGGTCAGCTTCTCCTGTGGAGTCACTGTACACTAACTTGTCTCTGTCTCTTTTTAATGCTGCCTCTCAGTATACGCTCCATTCAGCATTCGGTTAGCATGCCTGCCATGAGGTAAAGTATGTGTTTACAAGGTGCTTCCTGCCCTCGGTTTGGGTGTTCAACCCCAGCCACTGAGTAGGGAACTAGAATTCTGCCTCTTAACTAGCTATGCATTTAACAGTTACAGTTTGCAGTTACTTTTCTTACAGTGTTGAGATCCAAAATGTGAGATTCAAGTTTTCTTGGAAATAATTACTATTTCAGTTTTATTTTATTAAATCTTTATCTGAAAGCAGTTGAATTGGAAAGCACATGCCAGTGTAGAATGAAGCCTCTCTTGGGGTTTAGGGTTATTTTGTTCCTTCTCTTGTCTATGTTAGCTTTGGTTACAACCCCTGCCCCTGCCTCCACTCTCCCACTAGGCTTCCCTCATCGCAGTGTGGTCTTTGGAGCCAGCTTTCTTCACTGGGCACCTGTAGCTGGCCTTAATTTAACCTGTGTAGGGGGCAGAGGCTACTAACTGTATAAATCCTTGGCTTGGACTCCAGCCCATGTGAGAATCATGGCCCCCCCCCTAAAGTTTCTGAGTCTAGAGCAGGGGTGGGGCCTGAGAATTCATTTTCCCAGCTGCAGCTGGCCTGGGGAAGCATGGAGTGGGATTGGTCAACAACCATTGGCTTTGTTCTCCTCTGTGCTCTTTTTACCTTTGTAGCAGGTTGGGTGTTTAAGGTCCAATGGCTAGGAACCTGGGGGTGAGAGACAAAAGCCCCAAGTGTGGAGGTTTCAAAGCTCTCTGATTTCTCCCAGTCCCTTCCTTGTCTGTCTGACACCATTCTCTGGAAATTGGAGTCCCTAAGATGGATTGTACCAGCAGCGTGGCGTGTGCTCATGTTTGGGAATCCTACCTTGCAAGAAGAGATGCTAACACAGATCTAAAGCATCGTGCAGGGGCTCTCACGGTGGCATTTCCCTGCATTCTGATGAGTTGTTAGGGAGGTGACAGCTGGCCTTGCCTGGCTTCTTTTTTGTCTGTACATGTCTGTATGACAGACACATCACTTAGACTCGGAGCGGCTGTCTTCGTGAACTGAAAAGCAAACTTGTAGACATGCTAGCTCAGAAGCTGGTCTTACCCGTGCAGAGTAAGTGTTTGTGCTCGTACTTGCAGAGAAGCACATCCTCTTTTCCTAATCAGGAGTAACAGCAAGGAGAAATGTAGTCAGTGATGCTTCAGAGACTTCTGATTTTTTTCCACGGCGATTGTAATTTTCCTTTTTTTTTTTTTTCTATTTTCATAGAAACTCTCCAACTTTCAAGTCACTTGAAGAAAAAGTTGAAAACTTAAAGGCAAGTAAAGGGGTGAACTGACTTCACACTGTTTGATGCCTCTTTGCTATATGTTTGAAGTCTCTTTGCTGTATATTAATCACATAAAATAAAAATAACAACACTTCAGATGTCTGTTTTATTTCAGGTATTCTTATAATTGAACAAAATTTGCTCTTTTTTTTTTTAATCTAGAAAACAAAATACTAATAAGTTGGTTCTTCTACCCTGTCCTAGCTGTTATGCTATACCCAAACATATTCCATTGTTACTGATTATTGTGCATCAACATTATATTTGATGTTTGTTTATATAGTCCTTAGAATGGGTAGTATCTTTATTTTTTGGATATTGTGTTAATTCCTTTATTATATTGAGTTCATTAATGTCATTAATTAGTCATATTATTATTATTATTATTATTATTATTATTATTATTATTGGTAGTAGTATTGGGTTTTTTTTTTGTTTGTTTTGTTTTATTTTTTGAGACAAGGTTTCTCTGTGTACCCTTAACTGTCCTAGAACTCACTCTGTAGACTAGGTTGGCCTCAAACTCAGAAGAGATCTGCCTGCCTGGGATTAAAGGAGTGTGCCACCACTGCCTGCCTTTTATTATTTTGAAGCATATGTTTATTGCTTAGCGCTTTCGCACGTTTATAGGCTGTATCTTGATCATAATAACCTTTTTGATCCCCAATATTGAAGGTATACATCCTTCCATGATTAGCTCTATAAACTGCATTATTTCCAAGATGATTACAAAATCATATTCTGAGAATTGCGCATAGTGTCTCATGCATGTAATCCCAGAATTTTGAGGCTGAGGCAAGATTGCCTAGAATTTGATGCTAGCTCAGGCCACAGAGTGATACCGTGTTACAAAAACACCAAAACAAACAAAAATTCCAAACCAACCAACCAACCAACCAACCAAATATAAAAACCCCAAACTAAAACCAAAGCAAAAACATAGCAGCCCTTAGGATCACAAATGGCACCTGCTTTTTTTTCCAGGTGTACCTGCTTGGAACTCCTGATATTCTATTCTATAGTATTCATGTGAAGCCTGTGTGATTATTTCTTTATCCAATCTTGATCATTGTAGTGGCTACAGTTGGAGCCGATAGTATGGCAAGGTGATACCCACCTGTAATTTCAGCACATTACAAAGGCAGGGTGTGCCTTCCTTTCTCAGTAGGAGAGATCTGATGCTATACAGTGGTATGGACTTTTAGCATTGACCTCTCAGTCTGTATGTAAATTTATGACTGTTGTTTGAGGAATCACCCTGTACACACAGTCTTACAACTTTATGTATGTGAGCCTATGACTGCAGGAGCCTTTCTTTTTATTCCCTTGAGTGGAGGAACCCTTCTTTTTGTTCAGGAATACTGCTTAGGGGCCTCGAATAGTTCTTGGCATGTTGCTCAGTGCACATTGGATGAATACAAAACGTACATCACACTCATGTTTCTAGATTGGTCCATGAAACTGGCTTCATTCAGAATCTCAATGCCAACTCATACATCTGAAGACAAGCTGCATTTGAAAGAGTCAAGGTTTGCTGTGACTCAGTTTTCAAGACTGTTAGGACTCTCCCTGCCTCTCCTGATGTCTGTCCTGAGTGTTAGTTTTTGAAATATCTAGTCAGAAATCAGGAACTAATGTTCATTTGATCCCTGAGATAAGAAGGACTGCTTGGTCACTTGCTGTGTTAATATATTTTCTATAGATTATAGTATAGTCCATTTGTCAAATATGACTTAGCATCATTGAGATGATGTCTTAGTTAGGATTACTATTGCTGTGATGAAACACCATGGCCCAAAGCAAGCTGGGAGGGAAAGGGTTTATTTGGCTTACACTTCCAGATCATAGACCATCATTGAAGGAAGTCAGAACAGGGACTCAGACGTGGCAGAGGCCATGGAGGCTTGTTCTTCATGGCTCACTCAGCCTGCTTTCTTACAGCACCCAGGATCACCAGCCCAGGAATGTAACCACCCACAAGGGGCTAGGCCCATCCCTCATCAGTCATTAATTAAGATGTCCCAAAAGCTTGCCTACAACCTGATCTTATCGAGGCATTTTGTCAGTCAAGATTCCCTCCTCTAAGGTGACTATAGCTTGTCTCAAGTTGATATTAAACTATCCATCGCAGATAGAAATATGAAATGTAATATACAAAGTATATTGAGCAGCTATTGCTAAAGAAACTTGTGGTTGTATGCTTGCGATGCTTTTGCCAGTTTATACTTGTATCCATTTAAGCTTAGGGTCAACATGTCTGTGCACTGAGATTTTGGATAGATTCAGTTTTCTGTAGTTTTCGAGCATGTGGCTGTGACAGAGAAAGCTGAGGGTTCCATGTATCCCAGGAGGAAGACAGGAAGGGAAAGTCAGGGAAGGCCTCTCATTAATAGGCTTTCAGGCCTCTTTGAGGAATGATGACCTGGTCTTGTGGAGATGTGAAGCCACTGACACTTTCTTCTGTACATTTTTTACCAAAAAGCTTTGCTGGTGGCCTTGCACAGTGAAGGGAGAGTGCGGATCATGGACAGGATGAGTTGAGAGGTAGGAGTTGCAGTCCAGGCCAAAGAGGACAGTGGATAAATTCAGGTGCTAGCATAGGACTAAATGTGGAGATATTTGGAAGTTAGGCCAGGACAAAAGCAATCTGCTGTGGAACCAGAGGATGGCCCATGCACAATTCTGCATGTTGTTCTGCCATCTGTGTAGATGCTGGGCTATACAACTGTTTTTGTTTTTGTTTTTTAAACAAACATCTTTAAATTTACTATTAAGATACATAACATTGTAAGCTCTTCTACTTAGAATTGTATGGGGCAAACAGTGAAGTGAAACAATGTAAAGATGATGTTCTTGCTTGAAGGGTTTCATTGGGCTCCCCGGAGAGGCAAGGGGGATGGAAGAGGGACCGCTTGAGGGGGGCTCACAGTTCGCCTTTGCCTGTGCCGAATCGCAAGGAGTTGTGACAATTTCTTAGAGTTAATGAATGTATGTCAGTGAATTTTAATAATAGGTACAAGTCATGCAAATTCATCCAATTGGATGGAAGGTAAAAAAAAAAAAAAAAAAAAAAAAAAAAAAAAAGCTCATTTAGATTCCAGTTTTTAGACGATGCCCAGTCAAGACTGGGGTAACAGGAAGGTCAAGTTTGAATCCACTGCACACGTATTCCTGGTCACTGGCTGGTTTCCTAGTGTTGGCTGTCATGTTGCATCGTTACATGTAATAGTCAGTGAGCACTGATAAGCATGAAGTGACACACTGAGCAACAGAGTTGTGGTTTGCGTCTTGTGAGACAGTGTTTCACAGGGACTTACAGTACAGCCCAGGCCAGAGAGCAGACTCATGGCGCCTGTCCTGCCCCAGGCTCTTGAGTTACAGGCATGAGCTACTACAGCAAGCAATTAGTTTTGAAAAAAACAAAAGAACAACAAAAAAAACCCCTGTGAAATAGAATAGAAATGTCAGGCATATGCAGCATTTAAACAAATATTGAGCGACAGTTTCAGGCATGGTAGATTGGAGAATAGCGCTCCTTAAATCTAGTGCACACACAGTTCTCAGGGACCGGTCCCTCTGGCATTAAGATTCCAGTTCTGACATCCTGGCTCTCTGACAAGCCCCCAGATGATGTTGAGACTGTAGGTCAGATTTTTTTTTTTTTTTAAACAAGACAGGGTTTGTTTGTGTAGCCTTGGGTGCCCTGGAACTCACTCTGTAGACCAGGCTGGCCTTGAACTCACAGAGATCCGCCTGCCTCTGCCTCCCTGAGTGGTGGGGTTAAAGGTGTGACACCATCACTGTTCTGTTTGGCTAGGCCAAGCCTTTATGTAGGAAAGGGCTAAAAAGCTTTCAGTCCACCTGGAAAAATATTTTTCCCTTCCATTTGTACTTTCTGAATGACTATGGCTGAATGAAATAGACTGACCACAAAATGTTTATCAAGCATCTACGGAGGTCGGGAGATACATGGGAATAACAGTGTGCAGAGTTCTTTAAGTAGAATTTCTGGTGGGGCTCAATTAGCTGATGGGGGGATGTGTTTCAGCAAGGACGAAAGCAGGTGTTAACTCTTAAGCTGCCCTGAGCACGCCAGCAGCCCTCACATCACCTGTACGTAATGATAACTGGGCCATGAGAGGCCCCCTGTGTTCTTGAAAGTAAATTTAGAGTTCCTTTTGGCGGAGGCAGTTAATTTTGTTTCATTGATGTCCTTTCTTTTTCATGTTTTTTTTTTTTTTTTTTTTTTTTTTGTTGTTGTTGTTTGTTTTTTTAAAGTATAAGGTAGGAGGAACCAAGACTGCTGGCGCAGATTTTGGAGAAGTTCTGAATTCCGCAGCAAAGGCTACTCACGCCACAGACATGGAGCCTCCTCCGGAACAGACACAGGAGAGTCCCTGAGATGCCGACCTCTGTTCTGCTGCCCACTGCCAGGTGCTGCACGTGAGATCCAAGCACATCTCGTCAGCGTTCATGGCCGCAGATTCCAGAGTGCTTTTGTTTAGCTTTACTTACTTCTTTGTGAATTAAACAAAGTGAAACCAACTTCACCTCCACTCCATGGAAACACTCTTTAGTGTACACAGAGGGCCCTTTATATAGGGCCTCCATCACAGAGCCCCCATAGTCCCAAGGCGCTCACCAGAATGACAGGAAGCTGCAGGTGGCCACTGGGTTTCTGCTTCACAAAATCATTCAACATCTGGGATTCTGGTTTGATTCTTCTTTTCTATATGTGTCGTTGTTTTTTCCTTTTTGAGTCTCTGTACACTTGATTTGAACTAAAATTGTTCTTTTCTAAATTCTGGTTATTAAAGTTTTGGAATTATTTTATTACTTTCAAAGGAGAAACAACCAGCAAAATTTTTTGTTCTTATATGTGTGAGAATCATATCTTGGGTTTCCAAAGACTTCAGTCTCAAGTAGACAGGTGTGTGTATTTCAGTAGTTCTGTAAGTTAAAAACATGCAGAAACTCAAACTTGCAGTGGCATGATTGTGGGGTCCCCTCCTGTACCCTTCGTAATTGTCATTTGTAGCAGCAACTATTTCAGCATATTGTTTATTACGCCACTTACACGTGTTTTTTTTTTTTTTTTACAAGATTAAAATTTAGTTTCAGGTAAACTGACAAAGAACATCGTGAGTCAAGCATAAGGTATTATTGTAAGTTGAGATGTGATCGCAGTCATCACTGATAATTCCAGGAGTCTAAAAAGTCTATGGGTCCAGATAGCTATGAAAATGCTAAAATAGACCACCTTGGAGGAAACTGCTGCCTCCATTAAACCTTCCTAAATCACTCTTTAGGAAGCACAGAAAGTTCTATGAGAAATACGACTTGAATTTTTTTTTTTTTTTTTTTTTTTTTATATACTAAGGTATTGTTAACTCCGAAGGATGTAAGGCATTAATACAGATGAGCTCGCCATGCTGTACTTGCTTTCAGTGTGTCAGCGATTGTAAACTACACTGTAGACATTGCCCCTGTTTTGAGAACTGCCGGGACTCGTGAATCAAAGCTTCCAGACATGTCTGCTAAGCTCCTATATTAGCTGTGCTTACTACTGACCCGCTCCCGATTCCTTGTGCTGTATGTGTTTCTGGCCTACGAGGTTACATCTGTTATTTATCAGTTGTGGTTGTTTTATCCTTCGTCCATGCCAAATGTTAATTGCCAAGCTTGGAGTGACCTAAAGCATTTTTCAAAAGCATGACCAGATTTAACTGAAGATAATATTTCTGCAAACCAAATCTGAAAAGCCACAGATGTCAGTTGTTACAAAATGACATGCTGCCATTCTTGACTGGTACTTGGATGCAATGGAACTGTGCTCTATTACATGTGAAAAATCTCAATAAAGTCTATGTATCAGTAGTAAAGGTTTCAATATTTATTAAGCCAATGGTAAAAGAGCTCATTTGTATTAATGCCTTACATTCTTCGGAGTTATCAACAATATCTTAGTATAAAAAAATAAATTCAAGTCGTATTTCTCATAGAACTGTTGGTGCATCCTAAAGAGTGACAAATGGGTTTAATGGAGGGTTTCCTGCAAGGTGGTCTGTTTTAGCATTTTCATGGCTATCTAGACCTAAAGACTGTTTAGACTCCTGGAATTATCAGTGATGACTGCAGTCACATCTCAACTTACAGTGCTATCTTACGCCTGACTCACAATTCACCTGGATAAAGCTTGTATGATAAAATCAACTGGTATTCGGGAAGCAGTTTTCTAGAAAACTGGGTCTGTTGACATTTGTCTCTTTAGAGAAATATTGTGATTATTCAATATAATGGTTCTTTTACAAATTAGTCTTTTATTTTTTCCATTCCAACATCTTTTTAACAGACTGTTTCCTGGTTGCCCACTTTGTATTTGTAACCAGGCAAAATGGGTTAAGAGGGCAGTATTTTTTGTTTTGTTTTGTTTCATAAGGAATCTTCAAATTTTGTAAAGAAAACTCTCATATGAGGAAAATGATAGAAGTGTTTGGTGGGAATAGAATGGATCTCTATGAGTAAATACAGGGGATGAGTGTGAAAGAAAAAAATTAGAGAGTTACGTTTCTAGACCTCTTCCTACACTTAAAAAGTTAATCCATTAGAAGATACCCCGTCTCATCAAAGAAGTTACAAACTGATCAAGGACTAATGTGGATTTTAGAATATTCAAAAATATTAAAAATATTTGCGGGAGAGTCATTATTGAATTCACAGATACTGAGAAGATTTGAAACGCAGCAATTAACAGAAATATTTCAAAGAGGTTGGAGCCATTCTACTGGGAAAACAACAAAAGAGAAAGCTCAAATACTTGTGAAATCTCAGATATTTAAGGACATAAAATAGGCCCAAAGGCAGTTTTCCCTAATTCAAGGGGTCTGCAGAAGATTTAGCAAGAATTTTTATAGTTTAGAACCTGAGAAATTAATGAAAGAGAGCTCATTACCTGGATTATGATCTTAGTAACTCAAAAGTAACTACTGGGATACAGAAGAATGTTTAATTTGAACTATTTCTGGATCTTTTAATTAAGGTACACTATTTTCTGTAAAGTGCTTGGAAACAATAAAAACTATAATTTGGGTATAGTTTTTTTTTTTTTTTAATGTATTTCCCATCTTCCAGGAAAGGGGTGAATCAACTATGCAACTTTTCTCAAATTCCTCAGATCCTGACATGTAAAGTAGGAAAACCAAACCAACCAACCAAAAACACAGCAGCTGTCTTTATTTAATCATCGTGTTGGAAAGATTCAGGATTCAGTAGTTATTAAATGATTATTGCTGCAAGAGAGGCAGAGGAGACACAGCATGGAACAACTGTCAGGATCCTGGATTCTTTAGTAGTTTTGTTTTTCCTTTTAAATTAAGATTACTTTTCACTATGTGTTTGTATGTATGTTGTCAAAGTCTTACTCTGTTTTGGCAAGATCCAGGGTAGAATCTCGGGTAGGATGCAAAATTCAGGTTTTGATGTATCACTTGGGTTTTGCGTTATTCCTTGGGTGGCCAAACTGATGGCTCAGGCAACTGATCAGACAGATGATTCAATGAAGAAGAGGAGAAGGGAGTGCAGGATTCCTTTTCTAGATTAGGGACTGGCTGCAGTGCTGCTAAGGAGGAAATTTAAACTGACCACTATTTTCCTGCAGCTGCTGCTGTAAAGGCAGCTTCTAGCCCAAACTGCAGGGGGTTGTAAAAAGAGACTCTTTGATCTGAGATTAGCTCCTGCACAGGAGCAGGCCAATGAAGAGGGCTCAGCAAGCTAAAGTAAATGTCAGCCTGCTTATCTTAGGAGGCTGATTGTTAGGGCTGGAATCTACTAATGTATTTGTGAATTGATAAAAAGGGAAGAGGAGAGAAAGTAAGGAGTGATCACTCATGCACACACGCTCAAGGGAAAAAGGGTGGATAAGTTAAAAACTTCAACAAATTCCCACAAGCTTACATGTGACGATGATGCTGATTTCCGCTAACATCTCTGTAGAAACTGTAACAAGTTCTGACTGTTGGTTCCATAGTACCAGTCCATACATAACATACAGACAGATGTATAGATCTGTACATATTCATACACACATTCAATGGATGATACAAAAGGAGCTCCTTAATACAGAAAAACAATTGACACACATATAACATGTACAAAAACCAGACAGATATATACACATGCAAACATCTATATACATATTTACAACTCATGGGTGACACAGATTGCAAAATGGGCTTCAACCCCAGTGGGCCTCAACCCTCATTCATTGTCTGGCCACAGCTTTTATACTTTTAAGACGTCAGAAATGGAATTACCTCATAGTCAAAAGGGCAATTACAAAAACAAATGAGTTTGGAAATGCGACTGGTTATGTGTTTCAAAACTGAACAGCTTTATCCTCTAGGTGAGGCAACATGTATATTAGGTTTAAAAGTCGGACCTCAGTAGCTTCATCTGTTCATCCAGGTGTAGGTTTTATGTTGAAGACTGAACCTGGGGCCTTGGCATGCGAAGCAAGCACTGGAGTTTACAAAGCAGTTCTTTAAACTTGGCGCTTCCCAGGCAGGGAAACCAAATCAGCAATATGATATTGGTTGCCCATGACTACTGAGGGCTCTTAAAGATCACTGGCCATGTTTTAGTTTAACAAAAGAACTGAAGGCAATAACCATAGAGAACAGCATTTTAGACAAGAATCCACTTAACTCTCAGCAGAGACAAGTGTGTAGAAGGAGGTCTCATCTGGAGTAGAAGCTACCTTTCAGGCAGCTACTGAATTTGTAGGATTCTCTCTACATTGAGTCTTAGGTGAGTTGTAAAATTATGCACCATTCCAAGGTCAGTATACACCTATGACATTGAGGAGGATTCAAATTAACAGCCAATGACATAAAAGAGGGTCTGTCCTGGCCCTAGTAGTGACAATGCTTGCAGAATCGCACCATTCAGCGAAAAGCATGAAGTTGAGGTCAGCTTCAGCTACAGTGAGGCTCAAGAAGTCTGGGCTACATGAGACCCTGATTTAAAAAAAAGAAAAAAAAAAGTATTTACTTGCAAATGACATAGAAAACTGTGACACCTGCTCCAGATTTGGAACTTTGTAGGATAACATCGAATTGGTGGTTAGACAAATGGCCCCCTTAATTGGCAAACACTTCTGTATGATTGGTTATGTTTGACTCTGAAGTGAAGGGACAACAAATGCTGGGGACTTACACTGGGGCGAAACAATCAAAACATATCTAGTATTTGGGGGGGGGGGGGAGAATGATGGAAGTGCTTGCCAAACCTGGGCATATTTCGGAAACTTAAGTCACAAGAAGAATGGTAAGTAGCCCGGGGAAAGCGGCACTGATGGCTTTTGTAATGCGTGACTGGGCCGAGGACAGACCCACGACCAGTTTCGCAAACTGATTTGAGCCTACTTCAAAGGCAATCTTCTCTTCCTTTCCGGAATTTCGGACACTAAGAATTATTTCAAGTGTCAAGCACGACACATTCGGGAATGCTGAATAACAAGGCAACAGGATGCGCTCACGACCTTGGGGCTTCCCACTCCCGACAGATTATCAAGAAGACCGGTGAAGACCTCGGGGTACTGCAGTGGAAGCGTCCCCGCCTCCTCTGCGGGGCACGCGCCCGCTCCAGGGGCTCGGCGGTCGGGCCACAGGCCTCGCCCCGCCCCGCCCCGCCCGCCACCAAGGCAGTGGGCGGAGCTCTCCTCGGCCCGCCCCTTGACCTGCCAGCGTGCGGAAGAGGCCAAAGGTGAGGGGTCGCGCAGGCGTCATGGCGGCGCTGTGTGGCTTCCGTGCCGGGACTGCTGGGAGCCGTTTCTTGAGAGCGCGTCTCTTCTCCAAGCCCTTTCGAAATGCATGCACGGACAGCGGCCCCGAGGGCGCGATCCACGAGCCCTCCGCTCTTCGGGCGCGCTCGGGCGGCCTCTCGAGCGCTCTGAAGCGACACTCGGAGCTGCAGCGGAAGGCGGAGCTCGGCGGACTGGTGAGCAGGCCTCGCGACGCCACGTCCCGACGCGGGGCCAGCGTGGGGTGGGGCTGAGCTCGCGACACCAGGGAGGGGCCAGCAAGGGGGCCAGGATTCCCTCAGTGTTGGGATGGTGCTAACATAGGGAGGGGCATGATGGGGAGGGCAGGATTCTGTCAGTGTTGAGGTGGGGCTAACTTGCGACGCTGGGGATGGGACAGCAATGGGGGACTAGTATCCTGTCCGTGTTGGGGTGGGGCTAATCTGAGACACTAGGGAGAGGATGATCTTCTGTCACTGTTGGTATGGAACTAACTGATGACTAACTAGTCATACCAGTGATTTAGGGACTGAGCGGAGAGGGACTGGAGCGTTAAGGTGTAGCTTCCTACCCTTGACTTCCAGCAGCGAGCTTGTGGATCATACTTTGTATTCTGCCTCATTTGTGGCTGGATGGGTTCTCTCCACCCGAATAGCCTTTTGAGTCATTCTCGGCTAGCCAGCCAGCGAGTGGGGCTTTTGGGGCAACCCCTGGGACTTTTGGGAACCCCTGGGAAAAGGGCTCCAGGTCTTAGCTCAGACTCAAGGAGCTGTAGTATGAGGCCCCAGGCCTGTCATAAACATCGTAATCGTATTGATAGGTGAATGACAGATACAGCTACTGTGAACTGGGTGTATGATTTAATCTGTCAGTGTTTCACTTTTCTTTACTGAAAACGACCTTTTTTTTTTTTAAGTTTTTTTTTTTCCATTTGTGTAAACCAATACTTGTTAAATAGGATAAAACGTTTAGCTATGTGAAGTAGTAGAAATAGAAATAAGGACAAGACTGGGATTTGTTTGTTTGTTTTGGTTTTTTGTTTTTCGAGACAGAGTTTCTCTGTGTAGAGCCCTGACTGTCCAGGAATTCTCTTTGTCTACCAAGTTGGTCTCGAACTCACAGAGATCCACTTGCCTATGTCTCTCAGAGTGCTGGTATTAAAGGCATATGCCACTAACGCTGGAATTTTTTTAATTAATAAATTCCATTATACATGAAATAGATTACATAAGAAAAACTGAGGGTTTTGTCCCCTGTGAAATAAATAGTATGAAACAATACATGTGTAGACATTTCTCTGGATTGCAGAGTCATTTTAGTTTTGAGTGTCAAAACTTTTCTTTGATCCATTGATCGGAAGGACACCAGAACATGGTTTTTGCCACATGTAGTGGCTTAAAACACTTTTTAAAAAAAACTTACAGGACAGTAGGAGTTCTTTTTAAATAATAAAATAAAACAATATAAAAAGATAAAACAAAAAAATAACACATAGGAATTGGACAAAACAAACAAATAGAAGGAAAAGAGTCCAAGAGAAGGCACAAGAAATTGATCCACTTGTTTGCCACTCAGGAGTTCCATAAAAACACTAAACTGGAAGCCATGACGTATACTTAGTGGACCCAATGCAGAGCTGTGCAGGGTGTATGCTATTTCAGTCTCTGGGCGTTCATATGAGCATTGCTTATTTTAATTTAGAGGGCCTTGTTCTCTTTGTGTCTTCTATCTCCTCTGGCTCTTCCACCATTTCTACCTTCTCTTCCCCAGGGCTTACTCTGAGGGGAGGGATTTGATGGAGACATCCCACTTAGGGCTAAGTGTTCCACCTCTCAATAATGCCTGGCTGTGGGTCTCTGTCTTATTTGTTCCCCTCTGCTGCAAGAGGAAGCTTCTCTGATGATGGCTAAGGCACTGATCTATGAGCATAACAAAATGTTATTTGGAGTAGTTTTACTGGTACATTGTTTCTCTCTCTCTCTCTCTCTCTCTATCCATCCATTCATCCTTTAATCACTTTAGCAGTATTCTTTAGCTTTACCCTTACCCTAAATCCCTGCGCTATTTAGTCTCATGTTCTTGGTCTCCCAAGCAGTGTTTGGTATGTGTCTCATCTTGTGGAGTGGGTCTTAAGTCAAATCAGATATTGGTTGGTTACTCCCATAAGCTCTGTGCCACCATTGCACTAGTATATCTTGCAAGCAGGACACCATTTTAGATCAGAGGGTCTGTGGCTGGGTTGGTGTTTATATTTCGCTTTTAGTAGTATGTAGAGTACCTTCATGTACCAAAGAT